GTGAACAACGAGTGATGCATCAGCGTGTGGTGAGGGTGGAACGGATGAGCCATGTGCGGGCTCGGTTGTTGCGCCGGGTGCATCACCGGCTGAGGAATCGACGTCGGCGGCGGCGGCAGGCTCGGCGTGGGCGACGCGGCCACGGACTGTATCTGAGGAACGGCTTGATTGTTGCCCATCGAATGCTTGCTGGGCGTCGGAGGCTTGCTCGAGCTGTCCGGATCCTTCTTGATGTTCTCCAGACTCGGACCGGGGAAGCCGGACTGAAACCCGGGAACTTTCACTTCTTTCAGGCTCTGCAACGGGTCCGGCTCGGGCGGGATTATCTCCTGTTTTATCTTGAGATTTTGCGGCTCCATCGGCGGCGTGCCCGCCAAATTGTACATGGAGGACGGTTTCTCCATGGGCAGCATTCCGCTCGGTTGGATCGGCTGGAACAGATTGCTCGGCTCGTTCCTCTCGGACTCGTTGTTCTCCGGCCGCTCCGAAATCCTGTCCGGTATCCTGTCGGGGATCCTGCTGTCTCGCATTCGTTCCGGGGGAAGTCTGTCGTCGGAGATCCGTTCGGACATCCGGCTCTCGGAAGACATTACGGTTAAGCCTAGAGGTTGCGGCGAACTCGGCATCTGAGGCATCTGCGTCATGTTTGTCGGTATGCTTTGCGAAATGTTCAAATTCAACGGTGGTCCCGGCATGTTTTGGGGCATGTTCTGGCCCATGCTTTGTCCCAGATTTTGCCCGTTCGACATACTATCGCCGTGCGCTCGAAGATTTTGCGTTGGTCCCATGTTTTGCGCGTTCGACATGTTTTGCGGCATGTTGGGCGGCATCTGCATGCTCTGCGATAAATTTTGCGGTACATTCTGAACGGGAGGAACATTCGACGCGTACTGCATGTTCAACGGTAGGCCCTGTTGCGTCGGCGACATGATTTGCGAATTCTGAATAGTTTGAGGTCCGCTGGTCGCGCAGATACCGCTGCTTTGCATCGGTTGCGACAAGTTGCGCGGCATGCTTTGACTCATGTCGCTGATGCTCATCGGTTGCGACGTGGTCAAATTGAGTTGCTGCTGCTGCTGTTGCTGCTGTTGTTGTTGCTGCTGCTGTTGCTGTTGCTGCTGTTGTTGCTGCTGCTGTTGTTGTTGTTGTTGTTGTTGTTGTTGTTGCTGCTGCTGCTGCGGCTGCGGCTGCGGCGGTTCGGGTTCCTTGGTATCTTCGTTACACGGAGACATGGCTGATTCTATCGGCAAAGGTTCCAATTTTAACGGCTGATTCATAGCTAACGGCACATCTTCTATTTGATCCTTCGTTTCTGCCGGTTCCTCCAACAGAGGCTTCTTCTCCAAGGTGTGTATAACGGGCACGGATATCGGTAGAGTTTGTATGGGAGCTGGCACGGGAGTGGACACCGGCGTCGGCTCCGAAGGTTCCTCCGGGGTAGTCACCGCCGGACTTACCGGCTCCTCGGTAGGCACTGTAACCGGAGTGGATTGATTTTCGTTCGTATCACCTTCTCCTTCCCTTTCAGGCTCATCCATCAGAGAATTACTGTCGGTGGTGAGCGACTCGGAAGGACTCTCAGGACGTTCGCCGCGTTTCCGTTTCTGAGACTCCTTGTCCTCGTCCGCCTCATCCGCTTGAGGTCGTTTCTGACCCTTCTTCGGCGTCTCTGGCTTCCCGCCGCCAGAAGACTTTTTCTTGCTCTTGTCGGGCGTCTGTTGTTGCTGTGGCTGTTGCTGTTGCTGCTGTTGCTGCTGCTGCTGCTGCTGCTGCTGCTGCTGTTGTTGCTGCTGCTGCTGCTGCTGCTGCTGCTGCTGCTGCTGATGTTGCTGCTGATGATGCTGTTGCTTCTCTTGGTCCGGGGTATCGGTTCCACCTGTACGTCTCGGTCTGGCGGGTCTAGGCGTTTCCTTGGCCTTGTTTCTTGTACGCATTCTCCCTGGGCTATCTGGTGATTCCGCAGGCACAGGGCGGAACAGGTACGGAGGGGCTGGCGGTAGTTCTCCGGTTTTCTTGAGGTGTATTCTGCATTCCGTACAGAGCAATAGTCTGTCCTTGCCGGCTACCTGATAGTCCTTCGAGTTGGTGGAGAAGCAATGCTGGCAGGAGTGCGCTGCACCGTTGGTATTCGTGTCCCTGGAATCGCTGTCCTCCTCCGAGTTGTCGTCCTCCGTCACAGAACTAATCTCGCCGCCAGGATTGTTGCTGGCGGGTGTTCCGACGGGCACGATCTCGGGCTCGGAAATCGGCTCCTTCTGACTGACACTGGCCGGCGGTGTGTCTTTCGGCGGAGTTGGGACCTCCTCCTTGGGGGTGCCGGCTCTCGAGTTCCGTGTGTTACGAATCCTTCTGAGCGAACCCTGTCGTCGCCGCCTGTGGGGTCGATTATTGTTCGCGCCCGGCGTTTTCTTCCACAAGTAATAGAACTCGACCAGTTCCGGCTAAAAATACAAAAATGTCCCGCGATCAGTTCCCCTGTGGCTGCTGTAAGTAATAATCTATTTGTGTTTGTGTAGGTAAATGTTCACTACCGTGTCTTTGTGAGGCAAAAGATCCTTTCGGATTCTTGAAAAGTTCTTTCCAAATTGCCGAAGTCCTTTGACGAAGCGTTTCTACGAGGGGGGCAGAACACGAGGACGAATTAACCGTGGAGAACTCGGAGAGCCAACCTAGTTCCTCCTTCGTTTCGCTCTTAAACGGAGAATCGCAGGAGCCGCCGGTCAATATATTAATCGACCGGTTAATAGATCGATTAATCGTATACCGGTGCGAAGGAACTAGGTGAGGAGAACGCGAACAGATTCCGATTCGATCGTTTCAACTTACAGTTTCTTCCTCGGACCATTTTTTATCGATGCCTTTAGGTACAGGACATTTAACGAGAGCTTGCAACGCTCTTCCAGGATCATAGCCAGAATCGTGCAAGATGTCCAGAGCATTGATAGTCGTGTCGTCTCGGGATGCAGCCACACAACCGTCGTCCGGGGATCCTCCATCACACATGCCAGCAAATGCAGCCATAGATCGAGCTGCTCTCAAGTACATCAGAAGATCCCCGTCTAATGCCATAGCTGGAATCCATCTTAGCTCTTCTCGTTCTTTAGAAAACTCTGGGTCAGGAAGCAGCTCTCCAGGAGGTATACCCGGCCGATACTCAGGCAAACGGGCCTGACAAGAAACCAACTCCTGTACCCAAAATTCGGGGTTGTGCGTGGTTAGCACCAATGCCAAAGCGAGTTAGTTGTACGCACCTATACTCCGGCTTGCTTTTCGAGAAATCTACACGAGCCAGTATAATTTTTTTCCATTCTGTTCCTTTTGTTACATTACTGGTACGAGAAGTAGCGTGAGTACTTTATGTTTGTGTACAAACTAATGATCATAAATATAAGCATGAAAAACGAGAATTCAAATTATGTATGATTATTATACACATATTGTTATTACCACTATTATTATTATCATTATTATTATTATTATTATTATTATTGTTATCGTCATCATCGTCATCATCATCATCGTCATATCATTATCATTATCATTATCATTATCATTATTATTATTATTATTATCATCATATCATATCATCATCGTCGTCATCAGCGTCATCACCGTCATCGTCATTATTTTATCGTTACTATCATTACTATTATTACTATTATTATTACTATTATTATTATTAATGATGTTATTATTATTATTATTATTATTATTATTGTTGTTATTGTTATGGCTTTACATTTAATAACATTAGTTATGTTCACGTTCAGGTTCACGAAAAAAGCTATGTCGAGTTAATGCAGCGAATGAAACCATATTCTAGTATATATTCTCTTAGTGAACAAAGTAAACACGTACGATGAAAAATCAAATACGACGACACAAGATCAAGATAATTGATAAACAAACAAATGAACAAACAAATGAACAGATAAACAAATAAACGAGTGAACAAACAAACAAACAAACAAACAAACATGATATTTACATAATGAGAACAAAACACATTTACCAAGAAAATAACATAAATGAACAAACTTTTTTATACTTCTTTATATGTATAATGTATCATAGTTTGAGTACTTTTGTCGCAAACGTTATATACATTATATACTCATAGATGGTTCAAGTAACCAATGGGCTATCATGTAAATGGAGTAAATCGTGTTTGTAACAATGGTGTTTCTGTCATTTCACCGTGACTGAATACCACTATGAACATGAAAATAATCTGACATTGCATACTATTATCCTACGTTTCGTTATAGTTATAAAATATTTCATCATAATAACTTGCATCATATACACAGGGTCTTACAAGTAGTAATCGTCTGAGACATGGTGTTCCAGCTTCGCGGTCGTACCGTTGAATAAACGAAAATCATTAAATTGCACAGACTCGAAGGAAACTATCATTGTTATTTGAACCATCGACGTACAATAAAATTGTGTAACAAACAGACATCTGCTTTCTCTTTCCTATTCAAGTTTAGAGCTCCTCTTTCAACGTGTAGAAATACAGGCAGATATCGAGATTATAACTGGACATTGAAAACATATTCTATGAATGTGTACTTCACAAGCAGTAAAGAAACACCGATATCTCAATTGCTCTAAACCTGTAACTAAGCACACGCCATGCATATTTTTAAGAATCTTTGAAACTAATTATAAAAACATCTACATTCAGTTAGGTTTCAAAATAATTATACCTCGCTAATTATAAATTACCCAAATATATCCTTGTTTCCATTTCTATTACAGAGTAGATAAATCGATCGAATACTTAATTGTCTCGACACATTGATCACAGCCAACGTACGCGTAATATAATATTTCTTCCAAAGCACACTTCAAATTTATATATGGGGAATGTTTCGACAGGTTCACGAAAACACTACGATCGTTAACTATTCGTCTATACGTATCAAAATGGTAACAGTACGCGTACATTACTAGTAACTTTCACGGTAAATTTTATAGTCGACAAAGCGTTAAACAACTCTGCATACTTAAAAGTATGTAAAGCTGTTTGAATCTATAAGGAAACACGTATACGTACCTAACAATTTGAAACAATAAGTAATTTGTTCGATTACTTTATCCTGCCAATTTTGACAATTTTTAAAATGAAAAAATACCCAAGTTTGAAATAATTACCATGGAAAATGTTAGGTAACTTGACAATATTAAATCACAGTTACCCAATGTTTCTTTAATTGTATCTCCGCCTTAATCTATTACACTCAAAATACATGTCTTAGGAGAACAAGCCTTGAGTTAGGTACATTGTGCAATATAGCTAAGTAGCAAAAAGGTTTTCAAGGTATATGGCAAACCTGGTGCGAAGGGCCAACCCGAATCTCGCCCTGGGTGCCGGCAGACATCTCCCCCTCCTCCGAAGCTCCACCGTCTTTCTCCAGTGTTTTGAGTGGCTTCTATCTTGGACTTTCAGTAAATTCCTATCATCCACCCCCTGAACTGTATAGTTATTCTATCAGTACATTTGTAATAATTTTATAGAAAGAAGTACTGCTAACATGCTTCTTTTTTAATGACCCCTTTTTTAATAATGATGTCAGTTATTATGACATAAGTTGTTCACATTATTCGATTACATAGATGGAAGAGCATTGAAACTATTACGTTAAATTTTTGATGTTCCTAACTTTATGCGTGTTTCTTCCAATTCGAATGCAACAATAAAATACTAATGCAAAAAGTATCAAGTACTTAGGCAATGTAGACTGTTAATAATACTTTTTCCTGCAATAATGAAAAATTGCCAGCCAAACGAAAATTTCGAAATAACGACACATCAATGAAATGTAATTTTAACCAAAGAACGGAGTAATTACGCAAAAGGGAAAAAACAGAAAAAAGAAAAAAAAGGAAGGAAAAAAAAAGAAAAAAGAAAAGACACTTGTCCGGCCTTGCATACTGGTACAATTCGTTAAGGAAACTAAACGTTGATGTAATAACCCATTTAAATGTACACGCAGATACATATTTCTACTTTCTTGATGTGGTCTTGAGTCACGGTGAAAGCGGTAAACGGCATAAATGAGCTTTACTCAAATTGAAACGCTTTTAGTCAATGTAACGCAATTACAGCGTGCCAAGATGCGACAAACGTCATAAAAAATTTTTTGATTGACTCATCGATGTAAAGTGCGAAGATACAAGAAACAAAAAAAAACATCTATTTACACAATTTCGTCATGTACGCAGGAAAACTCGAATGAAATGTGCCCGTGCGCGAAACTATGAACAGCAACAAAGTTATCGAATCGTTTGATGCTGCCGCGAACGATACGTTATAATTTTTCGTTGCATCGCACTTCGCCTTGGCAGAATTCCGGAGAGCCGTTAAAATAAAGTGGAAAGCCATAAAATTTCAAGGCAAACTTACCCGTGATAAATGTTTCAACGATGTGCTCGCATTGTTCCTCCCAACACGGCCCACTTCCGCGTATATGCGTTAAGCACGCCGACCGATTACGCTGATCCACAACCGATGTACAAACTTAACGATTCACTATAAATTAACCATCGAGAATCATAGGATTATGTCTTGCACAAATCAGTAGCCACAACACCCAAACGCAGCCATCTTGTACTGCGTTTTGTTTCGTTTTTCTATTGTGGGGGTGCGTTCCAATTCCGAGCGTTCCCCATTTCTTTTTCGTCGACGGATTTCTGGTGGCAATTTAAATGCCGAAACCTCAAACTTCATGTCTCATTTCATTTTTCGTTCCATTATTTCAATTGCTTTCTTATCAGTCAATATTTATTGTTCCAACAACAGATACAAAAAATCTACCGATTTTACTTTTTTACAGTTGGCAAGATGTTTAAAAATGTACAAATAAACACAAGGGAAACGCTTAGTAACTTCTACGTAAAAATCACTGTAACTCAACTTCTGAAAAGAATAATCTTTCAACGAGTTCACTTTAACCGTGGAGATGAAAAATTAATGAATCTAGAAAAATAATTATCTGAAGGTATGTGTATAACCGACGATATGAAACATCGATTATGTACCAGAGTAACTTCGATGTAAGTCATCCTTCCTCTCTTCGTCATACTTACAGGCACTTGTCTATCGTTCATGCTCGCGTTGCGGCGTACGGTTTTACATTTTGCGCAGTCAACTCATAAAACTTCAGGTTTCCAGTTGAACGCAAAGTACTCTGCAAATATGGCAAAAAAAACGGCAATCTTGTTGATCGCTAATGGTTCGGAAGAAATGGAAGCTGTAATCACGACAGATGTATTGCGTCGAGCCGGAGTATGTCCTTTATGAGATATAACCTTAAAATATTTTACTTATTGCGTTTAAACGTGCATCATTTTTATACAATATTGATTACATCGTTATGTTATTTGAATGATTACACGTTTTCGATTATTAGCAGATCATTAGCAAATTATTATATATCGTTCTTAGATCGATGTGACTGTGGCCGGTCTGTCTGCAGAGAAGTGCGTAAAATGCAGCCGCGACGTTAAAATTTGCGTTGACGCGAATCTTCAAGATGCGGTTCAACAGAAATACGATGTTGTGATATTACCTGGTGGTCTAGGGGGATCGGAAGCTTTCGCATCGGTAAATAAACTTAGATATAGAAGGGAAGATTAGATTCATAATTGCAAACTCATATCAATGTATTAGTCCGAAGAAGTGGGAAAGCTGCTGAAAGAACAAGAAAAAGAAGAAAGAGTTATCGCAGCTATTTGTGCAGCACCAGTGGCACTGAAAGCACACGGTATCGCTAAAGGAAAACAGCTTACTTCTTACCCATCTATGAAAGATAAATTGACGGACGAGTACAAGTATTTGGAAGATAAAGTTGTAACCGATGGTATATAAAGCATTTTATAACAATACTATCATACCTCAAATATGGAATGGAAATGAACGTATATGCTTACATTTCAGGCAATCTCATAACTAGCAGAGGTCCAGCAACTGCTTTTGCTTTTGGTCTGGCAATTGTGGAAAAACTGCTTAACAAAGAAACTGCGGACAAGGTGGCAAAAGGAATGTTATATACAGAGTAAAAACAACAAAATTTATGCATAAATATCTTGCATAAGACATGTACCGTTAAGTCTAGCATGTAATTGTATTTGTGTTATGATTATTACGATTATAAATTTAATAAATTAATACCTTGCATTATACGCATAATATTCTTTTATTTACGTTTCGTAATCTCTAAAATTACATGTCACGTGCAATTTTAATATGTTTTACGAGTTTATTCTTATTCGTGGGATTCAAATTACCCGCTCACTTTTTAATATGGCCGTTTGCTTCGTTGTCGAATGTTTGTAGGAACGCTTCCTTCCTTGTTTACATTGTCCACGGTTAAAATATTTGACACTTTACGAGTCAAATGTATGGTGAACGTATCGTTGTAAAGCGTACAAATATTTATTTTATAATTATATGATTGTGATGTTTACTGTGTAAAAATACTAATCGCTGGGACCATTGATTCAAATTCGATATTCAAATAAAAGATGTTCGAAAGTGATGACTGGGATCTAGATCAGGTATATTCTAAATAAATGTTTTTAATGAGAAATTTTCACGAAATTTTGCAATATCGGTCAGTTCTTATAAAAATACCGTGAATCATTACTGAAATAAAATCATATTGTTTCATTAATAATAATAATAACCACAAAAAGAGGAAAATTTGTAACATGTGCTGCTCTTAGTAAAACCGATCGCAAAGAGAATGTTTGTATTAATATTTAGAATGTGTTTCTAGGACTTTTTAAATGATGTAGACAACAGATCAAATAATATTTCTTCTACAACCGATAATGACGAAATAGAACCGAAGAAACGTAAAATAGAAGTTTCTAATGATTCGGCTTTTTCATCGCATAATAATGTAAATTGGGGCAAAGAAAAATTTAGTAACGAAACTATAACGCAACACAGTGACAAAGCGTTAAGAAAAAATTTAATACTTGGTGTGTTTAACAAGAGTACGTCAGAAAGTAATCTATCTAAAAAATTAACTGAAAATAGTTTATTAAAATCTCAGTTGAGTAATACTCGAAGCATAAGCAACAATCAATTATCTAGAACAAATAGCGTGCTTGAAATACTTGGAAAAAAGAGTTCAAAAGATAAAGTTACAGATAATAATGTGGAAAATTCAGATTCTCGAAATAACAAAGCAAAAATTCAGGACAAAAGCAATATTTTCATAAAACAACAAAATAATTCTAAAGAAATCGCATCTGAAAATTCTAGGAAGGAGTTGTCGAATAATACGTTGAAGCAGTGTCGCACGAGTAACGTCGAATTGAAAAATAAATGTACATTAAAGACCCCGCAAGTTCAATCCAATAAAAAAATGACACTGGTCAGAAGATTTCCAGGACCAGCTGGCCTACTACCGGATAATATAGACGTTAGCACGCTTCAGACTTCGTATTTGAATACTTTAAACGAAAGTGAAAGCACAAAAGAATTTCCTAAAGCTGCTCTGACGGAATATTGTTCTCAAAACACAGAGAATTTGTTTACAGAAGGTGCTTGGCAATTGATGTTGGATGATTTACCGGATGGTTTTTTGAAAGGCAAAGAAATTGCAACCGTTAAACAAATGGCAAGCATAAATGGACACAGTTGCACAAAAGTTGATTTTCTAGCAGGTATAATCGAATGCATAGATTACAGCCGTGATAATCCGCTGATCGTTTTAAAAGATTTCACAGATAAGATGCCAGGAATTGTTCATAAAGATATACCGTACAAGTATCCTGGCTTGCTGGATTCGAATGTCGTTATATTATTACGCAATGTAGGGTTATTAAAGACTTCCGGATCCTTTGTCTCTAATAAGTATCACATTTTAATCTCGCCGTCGAGTTTGTTGGCCATTTATTCAAACAAAGGTAAAATAGAACGTACGCGTTACATGGAGTCGATCGTGCGAAATGTCTACAATGGAGAAGCGATGGAAGAGAAGAAGGATATGGAAGAAGACGAGGTGTTTTTAAATCGAAATTCAGAGTCTAACGTAAATTGTACCGTTGAAAACGATTCGGACGATGAAATGTTGTCTCAGTTAGATATGGAGGCTATTTGCAGCAATGGAGGATTAATATGATAATAAAAAGAAGCGACTCGTAGAACAATTAGTCAGGTTCGCAACCCACGAGAAAAATAGACAGCAGGATTTCTGTAAATACTCATAATATTTTTTCATGTTTGTACAAAATATAAATATATATATATATATAAATAAAAATAAAAATACATATGTTTTTTCTGAAACGTGTGTGCGTACGTGTGTGCGTACGTGTGCGCGTGTATGGAATATGTTAATAGTCGAATGTCTTTACCATTTTTTTGTTTCGCCTACCGGGAAATCCGCATACTCGGGATATCGTCGTCTCGATCGATTTTTGTAACGCGTTTCTTCGCGGATTAAGCGAGGAGATCAGAAGTGACGTAAATTATAGCAATTGAAATCCGCGTGTTCTTGCCACATATTTCGATTGATGGCGATATCGAGGGACGATCAGAGACGGGATTAACAAAGTGTTTTCGTTGGTAGTCGCTGTACGGTCCGACTGAAAATGAATCGAATTCGGGAATAATAATAAGGATACCGAAGCAAATATTTCGAGGACATTCGAAGATACGGACTCGTGTCAGCGACGATCTCAATTTTCCTGACATTAGCCTGAATATCAACCCCCGTCGATCACGAGCGCAGGATTAATGATACCGAATTCGTCGGTGAAGTCTCCGCCGAGTGGGCCGCGTATACGCCGATGCGGATCTATTAGATCAACCTTGATGTACCCTGATATGCGATGATACATCTAGGCGCATGATCGCGCGATTATCAAGTGCAATTTACTCACATTAGTTACGTGAGATAGAGACATCTGCGTTACGATCAAATTGCACGATATGCAGGAATGCGTGCGAAAACAGGTAAATCGGAAGCGTTTGCGAGCCGAGGGGATGCTCCGGAGGACGGCAGGCGGGGACGCGACTCACCTCTGTGTCCGATGCGTCCTGGAAAGAAACCAAAGTGAACGTGATTTTCAATGGTTTCGCGAGGCTAACGACAAGTCGACACACCCCACCGTTTCGAACTCGCTGGTAAGCGTAAACGGTATCGACACCCTCCGGTGCTGCACCGCTCCAATATCGCCGATATAGAAACGACAGAAATTCCCTTTCACCCTGCAATCCCGTGCGAGCCGGCGAAGCGATTACAAGCGAGACCACCTGAAAATTTCTGGTATCGCGGCGACGGCGACGATAAGAAGGAGTAGAAAAATTTGTTCGAACGTGGGAAAGGTATTTGTCGGCGTGCTATTCTTACTCGGAACGACGCGACAAATTTCTTTATTACCGCGAATGTATTACGTAAATTGTTTGTTTTGTTGGTGTAGTAGAAATTGCGCAAAAGGGAAACTCGTATCGATAAGCCGGCCCGATTAAGGCGGAGACGAGACGACAAATCTCCCGTGAGCACGACAGCTGCGTCAGAGGTGCGAACATGTTTGTTCGTTCGGAGGAAAGGTGAAAGGGCAGCGCGTTACCGCGTTACCGCGTTTGCCGGACTTCGACGGGAGCCGCGCGGACGGTCGAACTTGAATCTCTGCTCGATCGAGATACGGTAGGTGGAATCGGTCGTGTAGCTACTCGATCGGTTCTCGAAGCGGACGCGCAATCGGATTCGGATTACCGCGACACGACACGACGCGACACAACACAGACCGTGTGTCTCGATAAGAGATAAGAGGACACGCTCGAACCCTTATTGTTGGCCGAATGCTCGCGATCAAAACACATAACAACGTTATCGGACGTTTTCATCGTGTTTCGCGCATCCGTTAATCGCGAGCATCGATACGACGAACGTTGGCCGTTAATAAGTTAATACCCGATATTTCGCGCGTATATCGGTTAGGACGGCGGGCGAGTCGAAAGGTCGCTCGATTCGGAGGATCCGGCGACGAGGCGAAGAACGCGCGTGTAGCGGGTACCGATGTGAACGACCAGTTCACTTTTCCTCGCTAACTTTTCTCCGTTAACGAGTGAAACGTTACGACACCGCCGCCGGTTGTTCTCTGAACGGGAACGAGATTCCGCCGGCCGGATTACGCGTCTCTTCGTCTAGACGGCGTTTACAGGAATCCTCGGTAGTCGCGTTTACATCGGGAATTCTCGCGGCTACTCGAAAAAGGTCCGTCGATCGAGCGGTCGAGTACAGCCGGGCCGGTGAGCGGCGACGAAGACGAGGGAACCGACACGGCGGAAAGATCGGTAATCTTCCATACGCGGCCAATAACGCAACAGCCGAAAGCATCGGCGTTAACAGGAAAGCCTCGATCGACTCGAGCCGCAAAATAATAAAGATCGAAGCCGCGGTGACACGCGAAATCCCACGTTAATGAACCGATTAAATTCGAGATGTATGCGTCAACGCGGCACGACAGTTTTATCGATGCGCCGCGTAACGCGTCCCGCCGATTTCGATCTACATTTCGATCCGCGTCGGAATTTTTACCGGGTTTCCTACTCCGTTGGTATCGTGGAAGTAATCTGGCCAATTTTACGCTCGATTAGCCAGATAACGAACCTGCTTCGTTCGGAGGAGAACGACGCGTGGAACGTTCATTCAAGAATAAAGAATTTTCGCGTGATCAAACTGGCACGCTCGGCGCGCGAATCGCGTAACGCGTCGACTTCGATGCGCGCAGCGTCCAGATTTCCTACATTTCCTACATTTCCTACATTTCCTAGATTTTCCCGATTTTCCCGATTTTCCAGATTCTCCGGGTTCCCCAAATTCTCCGGATTCTCGGAGCGAGGAGAAGATCGAGCGTAATAAGGATAATTTAGCGAGCGGCTACAGCGAAATGTTCGTTAACGACCGTACGCTAATTCGAGTCCGAGCGACCGTTGGATGCGAGATTTTTGTAAATAGGTACATACAGGCGAATCGCCTAATTTGCAGCTGTTAACGTAATTTGTCCTTTACCGGGAACATTGCGAAACCAAAGACGATCGACGACCGTCCAGGTTGCGCAGCGGACGAGCGAAGAATGTTTATTTAGCTGCGCGGACGATGGTGGTTTTCGAAAGCAGCGCTAACCCGTTCGCGGCGAGGTTCGATTTATCTTGAATTTGATCGAGGAGAGAAAACGCGGGAAGGAGCAACGGAGTGACGGACCGGTGACGGTCGACGCGTTAATGAACGGGGACCCCGCGGCCCGAAAGATCGCTACGTGTAGAAATGTTGAAATTCGAATGGAACGGAATGGAACGGAATGGAACGGAATGGAACGGAACGAGACGGAACGGCGACGAGCGCGATCGTCGCGATATCGTCCTTTCGCGGAATCGGTCGGACGGGTCGACGTCAGTCGCGTTTCTTTGGCGGAAACCCGGGCAAACATCGACGCGCGATTTATCGGCGACTCGTATCCGCCGCGGCAGGAAAACCGTTGCGATTCTCGATAGACGGATTGGTTAGGGGGCTAGCGGGGAGCAGAGAGTAGGTGCGAGTCCACGGAGAGGGGAGAAATTCGTGCATCAGAGTCCAGGAACGATACGGAATGGTGCAGTGTGAGCCGGTGCGCGGCGCGAAACAGGTGATGGTGGTTTGGGAAATGATACGGCGATTCGCTCGACAAACTCGACAAACTCGATTCGGCCGGTTCGCTCGAACGCATCGCGCGCAGCAAGCTTTCCGAAGCTAGTTTAATATTCTCGGTCCGTCATTTCGGAAGGAAGTCGACTTTCGATCGAGAAAAGGTCGAGACCTTGTTCCGCGCGGCTGCGCGACGCGTTCCGCGATACAATCGAACCGAAATTCACTTTCGATCGTTCCAGCGCGTGTCGCGCTTAAAACCGTCGGGTTCCCTCTGAATTTCGTGTTTTCACGCCGCTGGTCGACCAGTTTCGACACGGTCGAGCGGTCCTAGAACAGTCGCGCGCTCTTTACCTTGAGTCGATCGCTATCGATCGGTTTCCATCGTTCTCCCGCCAATTTATGCGAGCCGCGATTCTCTCGAACCGAGTCGTAAAATCGAGTCGAGTATCGCGCGGCACTGTGCGTCGAGATCGTCCGTCGCGAGCCCATCGCCGTCCCGCGCTCCGCCGATCCGTCGTCGACGCAGCACCGGTAAACCTCGAAAATTTCCCGATACCGAGCTCGCTGGGAATGCGCGAACCCGTGCGGACGTCCTGGACTACCGCCGACTGGACCTCCTGAAAACAATCCGCCGGAAAGACTGCCAACGAACGAACGCTCGTCGAGGGTAAGTTGACGCGAAAGAAAATCGATAAACCGATTCTTCCGTTCCGTTCCGTTCCGTTCCGTTCCGTTCCGTTCCGTTCCGTTCCGTTCGACGACAGCTCGACAGCTCGACAGCTCCGACAGCTCCGACGGTTCCGATCTCGATCGTTTCGATCGGTCGAAACAGCCTTCGCGACATCCTGTGAAAAATCGGTACCGGCAGCGCGCCGTACGGCCGTTCTCCTTGACGGGGAATAAGGCTTTCGACGCGGATCGGAAAAATTGCTCGATTCTCGCGTTACCGATCCTTTCCGACGTGTCCGCTCTCGGAAGAACGACAGGAATGGGAACAGAAACGCAACATGTCGGAAACCTGGAGATAACATCAGGTATGACAATGGTAATAATACCTAGAGTAATAAAACATGGCGCGTAACGACCGAGCCAGCGCATCTCGAACGTCGTTGTTGCAATCCAATTATGTCTAATAACTCGAAAGAATTGCGAAATTGGCTGGGTACGATGGATTTCGATATACACCCGATACAGCGAACGCTTTTCCAAGCGTCTATAATAAAAAATGGCACGCAAACAAAAGACAGATAATACCTAATAAGCGATAATGACGCAAGTATGCCATGACGCGGTACGATGCAAGGTAACTAAATGCATGCAACTAAATAAACCTTGACGTTTCGCTCGACGGCTAAAACGTTACGCGGAGGAATGGACCCATTCGCGGTGCGTTCCATTTCCACGGAACTAGGTTTTGGGCGGCGTACGCGGCGTACGCGGCGTCACCGGCGTCACCGGCGTCGGCAACCGTCCCCCCACGGATCGAGCGCGATCGGTGCTCAAATAGAAGAGCGAAACGACCGGTGAAAGCGCCGGTCGAACTAATATCGAAGAAAATGTGGTTTTTCACCGGACGGCAGCCTGCCGTCGCCATTTTTCCTCCACTTATTTCTCCGCTATTTCTCTACTGTCTCTCCACCGCTATCATGCGTCTTCCAGGTATTCTTCGTAGTAGCCCCGTCTCTGACGTCTCGGCGTGTTCTTTTTTCAGAGAGATCACTGGTCTTTGCGAAATAAACGAGTTCCGAGCAGTCCAAAGCTGCAACGGGGGATCGGGTGGCGCGTTGCGCGTTACGCAACGGCCTTTACCTAAAAATCTAGAAGCGCGAGTTGCATTTCTAGCGACAGCAGGCACGCTTCGATCTCCGAGATTCCGTGCCGCGTGTTTCGCAACGGAAACACGGAATGGATATTGCACGAACGGCTGAAAAAGATACGCGAATACGCGCGCACCGGCGGCAACGCGACAACGGAAAAGGGAGAAGACCGTGTCGATTCGTATCGTGGAACGGAGACCGACCAGCCAATATTCCTCCTCGTCTCGAATCGTCTCGCGATTTCCCGAGCGTAACGACGGTCGCTGGCTGAAAAACGTTCGTCTAATTGTTGGACGACAGTGATCCGTCCATTCTTTTCTTATGTAACGAGGAATCCCCGCTGGTCTCGCGTTCCGCCTAGAAAAAGGTGAACTAGTTTTTTATCGTTTTCCGAATCACCGGATATCTGATCGATGCCGAGAACAGCAATTAAAACGCAACACCGCGGTGTTCTCGCGCAACGCGCGAACGCGCGATACATTCTCCGGCCCGAAGCGTCGAACCGCGACTCGCTTCTGGCTTTTTGCAACACGACGAAATCGGTTCGCGCCTTCCATTCTCTAAACGCGTAACGAACGCAACGAGAGTAGTCGGCGCGTCGGGACCGGCCGCGGATGAAAAGGAAGAGGGCCAGGCGAGCGTGCAACGAGATCGGTCCCGCGTCTCCTCGATAGCGGCTCTAATTATCGCTAGACGAGCAGCCGCTCCAATTATCATAAAACAAGAATGCGATCAAACGGTGAGACGGACACCTCTGTCACTCCGTTCTTTATCTTATCCTTGAACCGGTTCGCGCTAGAATAATATCGGCGGTGGAGGGTGCACGGCGGGTTGGCGGTTGGGTCTGCCGGAAAGATTCTGCGATGACCCCTTTCCGACTTATCGATCCGCCGACACGCGGATAATATTCGATCGGAACCTTGATCGGAGCTGCCCGGTTCCACGAAACGGCTCAATATCTCTAGCGATACTCCTGCCGAGTCCGAACGCGTTCCGTTGGGCTACCGATCGCGTAATCGCTATCTAATCGAAGAAATTGTACAAGGCTAACCAGGTTTCCGTCACGCGATTCCATCATAATCGTGATCGCGATCACGATCACGATCGTAATTGTAATTGTAATCGTAATCGCAATTGCAATCGCAATCGCAATCGCAATCGTAATCGTAATCGTAATCGTAACTGTTAATCGTTGATCTTCGGTCGTTAATCGTTAATCGCGACCATTAATCGTAATCGTGATCTTAATCGTAATCGTAATCGTAATCGTGGCCGGTAATAGTGGCCGGTAATCGCGATTGTAATGGTAATTGTTCCAAAAGTCATTTCTCAAGGAGGAAAAATGTCGGGGCCCGAATGATTCGATTAGCGCGTAATCGGTACGCGGAACTGCGCGAGCACTCGCTCTCGGCGGAGAAGGATCGGTTTCGGATATAGAGGTATTGGGCGTGCGAGTACGTCGGTACCGCAAATTTCGAACGCGATCGCACGGGTCTCGAGCAGGCCACGTGGACGTCGGTCGTCGCGTTACAGTTTCGCCTAGCCGACAATCTATTCCGTCCACCGTCCAATTCAAGAGCACGGTCACCGTCGCGATCGCGTTCATTGTCGATCTAGTCGCTCGACGTATCTCTCGACGACGTCGTCGTATCTTGTTTCACGGGATGGGCTCGTTAGTATTCTTTTCTTCGAACGGTTTCATTCCGCCCGAGAGAGAAATCTAATCGGCCGTTCTTCCTTGATTAGCATTACAGAGGGCCGCTCGAAGGTGAACTGTGCGCACGTTCCTTCCTTTCGGCGAAAGGAAAGAAAAGATTCGGTTTCGTTCGACGGGAAGCAGCTTGGTTGTCGGCGAAGAGTTGCGACGAGACGAGATTACGACCACGACAACCACGACGAGGACCGCGACCACGACGACGACGACGACGTCGCGGCGGAAGCGTTTGCGCTCGCATTCGCGTTTCCTTCCATAGGAGAGAGATCCTGCACGCGGAAACGCCGAATCGTAACTCCCGTCGAAGGATACGACCTCGAGGAAGACGGAATCGGTACAACTTCGGCAGCCAAAGCCTAAAGTTATGACAACATCCGATGGTGAGTCTCTCTCGCGCAGCCAATTCGATAAACGCCGAGTATATCGGTCCAGCGCGGTTAAACGGAGGCATTCGAGAAATCGAGCGTTTCTTTACCCACCGATAAGGAAAATCAGTTTCGCGCGTTCCAATGGTTATCGTTGAACTTGCAGCCAAACGCGAGCAAGTTTCCATTCTTTCGCGTTCTTTCGCTTTCTTTCGCTTTCTTTCGCTTTCTTTCGCTTTCTTTCGCGCAACACAAAATCGCTCGAGCCTGATGACCTGATAACGATGTCGGCCGAATCGTGTCGCGCAACGCGTTATCGCGATTCGTCCGGATTACGTTTACAGAGGAATTACCGGCTTTTTGTTCGTTGATTCGAAAATATCTGCGCGAGCGTCGGCCGCTGAGATTCGATCGAATAGCGATTTCTGGACGATAACGAGGAACACCGATTAAATTGCAATTAAAAACCGCTCCATTGTTCTCGCTTACTTACGGTTCTTACTCGGGTACTCGTATCTCCGAAAGCGTTCACTTTCGGCGGTTCGTTCGATGATAAGAATTGATCTGAATTCCTCTGTTCGTTCTAGGGGTGAAAGATGACCAAACGTCGGAAATTCAATGGCAAAGGATTCATACCGGTCAAGATGAGGATATGGTAACTCCGTTTTTCTTCCTTTTCCCGACTGGTCTAACCAGGCGTTCGCTCCTGGAGACCGTTGACATACTCGAATCGATTTTCAGCGTGTTTACGGATTCGAAGGGAACACCGTGAAACGTATTCTGACTTACATCTCGTACGTGCTGACCATCGGCTGGGTCAGGCTGTTCTTCCACTGGTACCCGCATCTCCACGTGTACGCGACTCACAACAAGTGTCCATTGAATCGCGCCACGAAATTGCTCGTAACTGTAAGGATACTTTGAATTCTTGCCATTTCCACATTCTTACGTATGGTTGTTCGTTGCGTGTCCGCTACCATAGAATTCCTTCGGAATAACGTCGACACCGATGCCAACGAAACGGCACGGTGACCGAAACTATTCTATCGGTTCTGCGACGCGATTCGGACGATCGATAACCGTCATCGATACGATTACATGTGTCTATGATGCGTCTACAGGATAATTATCAAGGAAAGTACAAGTCTTACCTCGTGAAGGAAGTGAAAACCGTTTCCGCGAAGAACCTAAGGTTAGTCCGAACACGAGTATTATATTCCCAGCGACTTCTCGATAATAATTAGCTACGATCGGACAACGACTTGTACGTTTCCTTTCTTCTTCCTCGGCGACAGCGCGCAAGAATTGGCTAGAGTTTTCGGCGACGAAGACGACCGTCTCGTTGAGAAAGTGAAATGCAAGAAACTCAAGATCCATTTGGAAAATGGCACGCAATGCGAGGTGTCGGAGTACAAAGCTTTCTGGTGCAAAAAGCAGTGTTACGTCTGGGACGCGGCGCAGTACACGTTCTCCAGACTAGTCGGCCTGGACAAATACACGCTATGCTCGGATCTTCACCTGAACAGCAACCAGGGTCTTTCGAAGGAAGAACAGTGCCTTAGGTACCGAACGATCGCGTCTCCTTATCTCTTTCGAGTCAGCTCTCTTTCTCCAAAGTCGGCTCGAAACTCCCGGGAACTCGAATGATTTGCGTTTACGCCGTTCGTTGGATCTTTCTTCTTCGTTTTAGGCGACTCGTCTACGGACGCAACGAGATCGTCGTTCCCGTGCAGAGTATCGGCGTGCTGCTGGTACTGGAGGTCTTGAATCCATTCTACATTTTCCAAGTTTTCACGCTTTGCGTGTGGTTCGCGGAAGACTACTTGTACTATACCGCGGCGATCATATGCATGTCGTTGTTTGGGATCACAAGTTCCATAATACAGACTCGTAAGGTAAATAAACTCGGTGTCCGGTGGTCGGCGTTGGGTGTTGGGTGTTCTTCTAATCGAATCGCTCTGCGTAGAATCAACTGAATCTTCGCGGCACAGTCTCGTCGACGGAAACGATTCGAGTGCGTAGAAGCTCCACGCTGTCGGAAATCGTACCGAGCAGCGACTTGGTGCCCGGTGATATCATCGAGTTGCCCAAACATCAGGCCACTGTTATATGCGACGCGGTCTTGCTAACTGGCCAGTGTATATTAAACGAATCCATGCTGACCGGTGAGTCCGATAATCCGATAATCCGACAGTCGAATCGATCCAAGAGCTTCTCTCTTTACTTTTACTTTTACTCTTACTCTTACTCTTACTCTTACTCTTAGTCTTACTCTTACTCTTACTCTTGCTCTTACTCTTACTCTTACTCTTACTCTTACTCTTACTCTTACTCTTACTCTTACTCTTACTCTTACTCTTACTCTTACTCTTACTCTTACTCTTACTCTTACTCTTACTCTTACTTTTACTTTTACTTTTGCTCTTGCTGTTGCTCTCACTGTGACTTTGACTTTTGATCAAAACGCGTATCCTCGACTAGCAAGTAAATCTAGGTTGCACGAATTTCAGGGGAGTCTGTACCAGTGACCAAGACTCCGCTACCTCCTCATCATGTTCTTTACGAACCGAAAGAATGCTCCCATCACACTATATTTAGCGGCACCACCATCATACAGACCAGGTATCCGCGCATCGTTTCGGCCAGTCCGCGAGCAAGTTGTTTTATATTTTTCCCCTTGCAGATGTCACGGAAACGATCCAGTTCTCGCGCGCGTCATTCGGACGGGATTTCACACGAACAAGGGTGGCCTGGTAGCGGCTATCTTGTATCCACCACCGGCCGACTTCAAGTTCGATCAGGATTCTTACAAATTCATTGGGATTCTCGCGTTCATCGCCAGCTGCGGTTTCATATATACCATCGTGACCAAGGTGCAGTTGCTTAGATCGTTTCGTTTACTCGCTGGCTCGTTCGTTCGACTATGCACGTTGCAATACGATATCAAGCGGTTCGTTGACGCAGGCATCCAGAGGAATCACGGTTGGCGACATAGCCATAAAGGCGTTGGACATCATAACCATTGTGATTCCTCCGGCGCTTCCAGCAGCGATGACGGTGGGAAAATTGTACGCGCAGTCGCGTCTGAAAAGAGCGCAGATCTACTGCATCAACAACAGAGTGATCAACGTCTCTGGCAGTATAAATTGCGTCTGCTTCGACAAGGTACGGTTCAAACGACGTTCCGCGTTCAGCGAAACTTTCAGCTATTTAGCAAGAGATTCCTACGAGATTTCTACGCGTTCGCAGACCGGCACCTTGACGGAGGATGGTTTGGACATGTGGGGAATCGTGCCCTGCACGAACGGCAGCCTCGGCGAACCGGAAAGAAGCATTCCTAAATTAAAGGATCATCCTCTTTACCAGGGCATGTTGGTTTGTCACAGTCTGACTATAATAAACGACGAGCTCTGCGGAGATCCTCTAGACGTAAAGGTATTCCAGATCGGCGGTATCTCCGGATTAACGTTTATTCGAATTCACCCGACGCATTTGACTCTAACGCTTCTCGGCGCTTGTAGATGTTCGAAAGTACCGGATGGCTGTTGGAGGAACCTAACGGCGATCATTCGAAGAAACATGATCTCGTAGCGCCGACGGTCGTAAAGCCGGCGAGGAATGCCGGCTTCGGGGAAAATACGAGCGAGCCGTCTGAAATCGGGATAGTACAGCAGTATCAGTTCTCGAGCTCTCTACAACGAATGTCTGTGATAGTACGCGTATCAGGGTCCGAGACTTACACAGCTTATACGAAGGGATCGCCTGAAATGATCCTCAGTTTAAGCAAACCAGAGACTGTTCCGAAAGACATTCTGTTTAGCTTGAGAAGGTACACGGAACAAGGTTATCGAGTGATAGCTATGGGTCGTACGACATTCACGGAAGACGGTGCCAAGGTGAATCGACTCGACTCGACTCGACTCGACTCGTTTGCCTTTTAGAGCGTTAGAGTTTTAGATAACGACGCGTAATTGCTCTCTGCTATTCTATTCGTTAAATTCCAAGAGGATGTTTACACGCTTTGTTCCCTCTGTAGATAATGAAACTGGCCCGTGACGCGGTCGAACAGAACCTTGAATTTCTGGGCTTAGTCATCATGGAGAACAGATTGAAAGCACCGACTATACCGGTCATCAAGGAACTGAGGGCAGCCGACATACACGTGCTAATGATCACCGGTAAGCGAGACCACGGCGATCCTTTATTACCATCCTATATGTATGCAAACAAGTAGAGTGTCGTATCACAGAAAGTGGAATGATTTATTTCACTGTGTATCTCGTGAGTCGGCAACGTATTTGAAACGAGTTATTCCAGGGGATAATATCCAAACAGCTGTGAGCGTGGCAAAAGAATGTGGCATTTTGTCGCCGCGAGAGACTGTGATAGACGTAACTGTGGTTACGAAAGAAAACAAGATGCAACCGGAGATTTATTTCAACGCTCAGGAATTCACTCCCAAACTGGTACTTTCATTTGTCGTCGTCGTCGTCGTCGTTGTTGTTGTGTTGTTGTTAACGTTCCATTCTAATTTCCTTGTGTATTGTTAAGACTCTTCGAGGCAAGAAGCTCAAGATTACCGAATTACGGGATATGGAACAAACCTTAGGCAATAGTAATTATCGATTCGCGCTGACGGGTCAGTCGTGGCAGTTGTTGCGCGAGTATTATCCGGACATAGTACCCAAGATCTGTGTGCGCGGTGCAATATTCGCCAGGATGACTAGCGATCAGAAGCAGCAATTGGTGTTGGAGCTGATGCAACTGGGCTATTACGTTGGTACGCGTCAATTTAATCGTTCGCCTTAATTGCGTCCCACCGCGCGGTGGTTCACTCGAAATTACCGTTCCGCCGTAAATGTTACAGCCATGTGTGGAGACGGTGCGAACGACTGCGGTGCACTGCGAGCGGCGCACGCGGGTGTATCCTTGTCCGAGGCGGAGTCTAGGTAAGTTTTCACTGTTCGCTGAGAATCGACGAACCAGCTTCAACGAGCACTTGTCCTTTCAGTGTTGCTAGTCCGTTCACATCCAAGGTACCTGACATCACTTGTGTTCCAAAGGTAATCAAGGAAGGTCGAGCCGCGTTGGTCACGTCGTTCGGCATCTTCAAGTTTATGGTCACTTACTCGCTGACAGAGTTCCTCTCCGTGATAATCCTATACTCCATCGACTCGAATTTAACGGATCTAGAGTTTCTATTCATCGATATTTGTTTAGTCGTGAATTTCGCTTCGTTCTTCGGGAAAACGCGGGCGTACGAGAAGAAGCTGGTTAAGAAACCCCCGATGACTAGCCTTTTAAGTTTCACGACGATCTTCTCTTTGATCGTACATATGTTGATTATGACAATTTTTCAAGCAACCGCTTATTACATGGTACGGATTTTCCCCTGGTACAAGCCGTTCGTTTATACCGGCGAATCGTACGCGTGTTACGAAAATTATTCCGTCTATTGTGTCTCCATGTTCCAATATATAACTATGGCGATAATATTTTCTCGCGGGAAGCCGTACAGGGAAGCTATTTATACGAACGTTACCTTCATCGTTTCCATTATTTTACTGACTACGGTGTGCACATATATCACCGTTTATCCTGCAGAATGGATAGTGAATCTACTCGAGCTACTTGTACCTCAAGCTTACAACTGGAAGATCATTATTTTGGCCCTAGCTTTAGCGAACTTTATAGTCTGCATCGCGGTTGAAACTTTCGTGATAGAATACATGATAGAGATGAAATTGAAATCAAAGTTTTACAGGCCCGAAAAGTCCAAGAAAGCGTACCTAAGAATAGAACATGAATTGCAGCACAACTTAAGTTGGCCGAAACTTAACAAAGAACTACCCGTTTTGCCGTTAACGCCAAGTGTAGAAAATATCATTAACGTATCGTACGCGGAGGAGCAATGTTACGCGAACGAAAATGAGAAAAGTGTCAACGGTAAGAACCGATATCAGACTATAGAGTCGAGTAAACAGAGTAAACAGAGTAAACAGAGTAAACAGAGTAAACAGAATAAAGAGAATAAAGAGAATAAAGAGGATAAAGAGAGCAGAGAGAGTAAAGGGTTACACGGGTTTGATAATTGTACATTTGTCAACGACGAATTACCGCGAAACATGAATATGATAACTAGATTTTAAGATCATTAAGATTTTAATGTCTTCCAACATTTCACAGTTCGATAATCATTCGAGACGAGTATAATTAAACGTGCTTCGTTTAAGTTAGGACTTCCAAACCGTAGACAATGGACAGTGAAATAATTGCACCAGTATTTGTATATAAGTATTATTATGATAATTCTAAAGCAATAAATATTTTTACTACAATACGGAATAAAACAAACGTGTCAAGAAATTTCTCATCGCTCTGTGCGTACTCGAAAAAATCCAAAATATATTTTTATATACAGTCGAAGTATAGTATTGTAAGTACTCTCTAACAGTTACATTCTCCTAGAGAATTTCGTTCAATCTTCTCAATGTAAGGATATTTTATTTTAACGGTGAACCGAGGGAAAGACGTTATTTCTTCTTGCTGTTTCGAACGCGTAACGTGTGTATACAAAATCTTTATTTATTATGAGAAACATGTTTCTTGCTCAATAAAAGATTTGAGCATCCAAGAAATAAAACAAATTACAGATCATAAGACGTGATCTTTTCTCATCTTCTGTTCCAATAATTTCGATCTTTTTAGCATTTTCTATATTACAAACAATAAGTTATATTTATAAATACCTGTATACGTAATTAGAAAAATTATATTTTTAAACTAAGCTCACCTATAATGTCGTTTTGATTTTCCACTAGTTCATTCCTGATCCAGTTCTTGTAACGAAGCACCACTTTATTTATTATTTGTACCGTACTTTCGTGTATCTTAGGCTTTAAAAGAAGACTCGGTAGAGTTGAAATAAATTCTTTAAATACACGTTCTCTGCAATGCATTGACAATTGGTAAAAACAGTTTGAAACCAAGTAGAACTTGAAATGAGTGCATAGAGAAAATTTACCTGTGTAATTCGTGCAATGTATGGTCTAACATAATATCACTGATGCTGGAAAACAATTGTAATTGCAGTTCTTTCTTCGACTGATCGCAACATGCGTTTACAACCGATTGTAGAGTTTCGCTAAGATCAAGATTATTTCTGTACCAAATTTTACTTGCTTTCAGAAATAATGTTCTCAATAATTTAATCAACTGTGGTAAAACGATATTATCTTCGGGTGACCAGTCCTCGAGTCTCTCTACAAGAGAACAAACATGGAAACCATATGTAAAAAAAAAACGAATGATTCTCCGTGAAACTTCCACAACCATGTAGACTTACCATTTAAGTATTTAAGTACAGACATAGAATAAGTTTTATTTAGTTTAGGTGTAATTTTATCATTGTATTGTATTGTTGTAAACCAAACGTAAATTTGACAAAGTCCTAAATTATCTCCCAAGGAAATATCGCATGGTTTGTTAACAGAGAAGTCTTCTTGACGTTTTCTGTTTCTCATGGACGAGAGAGAACTTCCGGACGTGCCCAATTTGTTGTAAGGAAATTTTGAGAGTAAATTTTTTACAAACGTATTTTCAAAGTTACTTTTAAACCAGTATTTCATGTTTACGTCGCACTCGATATGCAATATGTCTATGCATTCGATTATTAGCTGTATAATTTCTACGGCGCTTTTCAATAATTCTAATGCTTCCATTGTAATTAAATGTGCAGAATTATCCACATTTTTCTCATTTGGACACACTTCGATCCAGCTATCGAATATAAGTGGCATTAACACTTCTACATATTTCAGAAGTTCTTCTGCATCTAAAGCTTTCTCTACAGCATTCTCCTTTAAATTGTTTCTTTGTTCGAAATCAATTTCATAATTTTCAAAGTATGTATTTACATAAACAGGAACATACCTAACATTTTTGTTTACATGGACAACTTGTGTAGTGAAATTTGTACAAACATTCTGCTGTGATTTATAAAAACTAACAATAGAAGCAAACATGGTAGCCAATCTTTCTAAAACCTTTATTCTCCATTTTACATTGGTATGTTTTGTACTTAAGGTTGTTATTAATTGCCTATCAGGTTTCATTTCAGTATGCAATCTAGAAATCATATCTAAAAAATTTGGCAATACCTTTTTACTATTTTTTGCCAAGATAACGCTGCAATTTTGTACGAGTACATCCAAAAATAGTAAAGCATCTTCTTTGATACGTGGATCTATATGTGTCATGGCACATCTCAAATATGAAATCAGAACATCGCAATATGGATTCAAGTGATCATTAGACACTGGACCAAGAATCAAACTTAAAACTTTAAAAGAATCGTGCCTTATGTTTCTCTCTTTATCAAGAGACAAGGAACATATACCTTGTAACAGAGACCCAAATTGTAGGCTCAAAAAGTTCAAAGAATGTTGGGACAGAATATCTTTCAGCTCTCGTATAGCATCCTGTCTAACTGTTGAGTTATGATGTTGAAGGCGTGACAATAAGTCCTATAAGTTACATTTATGTTTTACAGAAATTATACCCTTGTAAAAACATTCTGAATATTAAATAACAATTTTTAATCACCTTAACATTAAGCTTCCTTTTACTAAGAATTTCGGAGTCATCGTGTTGTTTCAGCTGTTCGCGTATCACAATCTTCTTAACTTTGAATGTTGGATGTGTGACATTCAATCCCTTTGGTAATTGCTTCGTTTTCTTCGCTTTTAGTTTGACTTTTGCCTTTTCAGACTTTAAATGTTTTAAATGCTTATGACCCTTGCCCATAATTAATTATTTCATATCAAAATAATTTCCTAAAAAACGTGTTGTTTCAAGTTGTATTATTGTGAAACATACAATTCGTAAGACTTTCAGTCATAATTTAGAGAAAGTCATGTATAAAAATCCATTTACGAATATATAAATTACCGTAAAATATACAATAGTACTAACTTGAACTGTGCGTGATATGTTTACAATTATAAAATACGTATTGTATATTTTGAAAAACTTAGGTTACATACTCACGAGGTTTTAGATCGTCAGATGTTCCGCTTGCATGTACCTACACGCAATGTCGAATTGGCTGTCAAAAGTGTGTCTGCTGAGCTTTAACGTACGTACATAGGTAAATAATAATAACTAAAGTAAATTAAAATTCCCACATTAAAAAGATGGTATTGTGTAGATGCATAAGAAAATGTTTATTTATATAAACGATATAAATATACTTCATTTAGTATTTTTTTGTCAAATCATTGTACAATGTAAGGTTAGGCTGATGTTTCAAACATGTTTGCATTGCTTCAGTATTACAAATTACTAAATCAATGCTTTTTAATTATTTTATTTTATTGTCATTTCTTCATAACGCGTTGTAGTCTAATTTTGAAATATGTTTATTTTGACCACATTCTTGTGTTGATTCAAAGCAGTTTTATATAGTCTTAGAATATTACACATTTTTTCAGTAATATGCTCTTTCATTTTCATCTGTTTCTCCATATAATGGTATAACTCTATGAATTAAAACTAACTACTTTATGAACTATTTAACTACCAAAATTAAAACAGAGTTTACATTTTTCGAAATTGCAATTTAATTTCCTATGTATAATGTAATATTTGATTAATTGAAATATAAATTACAATAAAGCTTATGTAATAGCATAGTGATAAGATATTGGATACAATGTTCATTTAATGATAATTCTGCCACATGGTCTAACTGTGAAACAGTTAATAATACATTTCTTGTATTTTTTCAGACACTCATCTTAAGTAAGGAACAATCGCAAGATTAAATTTTATATGGCAAATGTACGAAGGATCACAGTTATGAATAAGAAAACGTTATAATTAAAGCAACAACAGGGACAATAAATTAACAATTCAAAATCAAGAAAAGAAACAGAATAAACAATTTAAAATGAACACAACATTGACATACTGTCCACCAAATATAACATTTACTGAAATTTGGGTAGAACATGGAATGTCAAAATGTTTTATGGACACTGTTAGTATTAGTATAATTTCATTGTATCTGTTAATTTTTGGTACCATACAACTTTGGATGTACCAGAAATATGGAACCGAAACTCCTGCATCTTTGTTACCCAAAAACAAGCTGTACATTTTACAAAAAGTTCTCTTGTATTTTATCCCAATACTAAGTGTAGTAAGAATACTTTTTCAAGGTACACTTTTAGATGACAAAAGAGTTTATGGTTATATGGTAAGCAATTTCTTTTTTTTCTTCTTTTAATATGTATACACAATAATACCATTTAATTGTAAAAACTAAAATTATCTTAATACTTTCAGATTCTCACAACAGCATTAACTGTGATTGTTTATCCATATTCTGTGTATATATTAAAGATAGAGAGACACAAACTGTTACCTAGTGTACCACCGCATGGTCATGGACTTGTTTTATTGGGCTTCTGGACTTTAGCGTTTGTTGCTGAAAATCTTGTTTTTGTTAACATTGAAAAACTTGAATGGTGGTTCCATTTAAATACGTAAGTTTCACAAAATTATGCTGCAACGAGTATACTCTGTGCCTTGCATTGCATATATTATAGTAGGGCATTCTCTATATGTGTGTGTGTATGCTATTTACAGATCGTCGGATCAGATTGAGATGGCACTGTTCGTTTTACGTTACGTCAGCAACTTGATCATCTTTGCCTTAGGACTTAAAGCTCCAGGGTTAACTGGTAACTCAGATCCCGAATATCGTACTTTACCAAATGGTCCAACTACACGGCCGAGATATTATCAAGGTGTAAGTCATAGCAACTATAGAGAGTTCCATAATAGAGTTATACGAGTATTTTATTTTAAACGTCACGCAATTATTGATAATATTATCATTTTTAGAGACCAGAGGAGAATGCTTCTGCTTGGAAAAATGCCTGGCATAAGATAAAAACATTGGCACCATTTTTATGGCCTAAACAGAGTATTGGACTTCAGCTAAGGGTTCTTTTTTGTTTCGTGTTACTTATATCAGGACGTTTAATAAATTTATATGTTCCAATTTATAATAGAAAGATTGTGGACAGCGTTACCGAAATTCCTAGGGTGTTCAGGTATATAACATGTTCTAGGAGTGCTTGAACATTGTGTGAGAACTGTATCTATAATGTGTTTGATTTCTGTGATAGATGGGATCTCGTATTAATATATGTGGTATTCAAATTCTTGCAAGGAGGAGGTACAGGTAATATGGGAGCACTTAATAATATGAGATCATTCTTATGGATTCGAATACAACAGTACACTACTAGAGAAATTGAGGTAGAATTGTTCAGGTAATCATTTATGTATAGCGTTCTTTTCAAATCTGCTTAATTAAATTTATATTTGTATTATACTTTTATAATAAATAAACATTTTCAGGCATTTACATAGTCTGAGTTTACGTTGGCATCTTGGAAGGAAGACTGGCGAAGTATTGAAAGCTATGGATCGCGGCACGGATTCTATAAACAATCTCCTCAACTATGTTCTCTTCACCATCGTACCAACGATCGTCGACATCATCATAGCCGTTATATTTTTCATAAGCGCGTTTAATAAATGGTTCGGTTTAATCGTATTCGCAACTATGAGTCTTTACATAGGTGAGTACATTACATATTACAAACGTTTTCTTTTCTTCAATTTGGCACCGTGTCTTATAAAATATTTTTGTGTACTGACATTAGCTGCGACGATTATGGTTACCGAATGGCGTACAAAGTTTCAAAGGCGTATGAATTTAGCAGACAATGCTCAGAGAGCACAGAGCGTTGACAGTTTACTTAATTTTGAGACGGTCAAGTATTATGGAGCAGAATCGTACGAAGTGGATAGCTTCAGAAAAGCAATATTACTGTTTCAATCGGAAGAATGGAAGTCGATCGTTACGTTAAATATCTTAAATCTATTGCAAAATATAGTTGTTTGCAGTGGCCTGCTAGCCGGATCTTTACTTTGTTTACATATGGTTAGCATGACCAGAATACTTTTCATTTCATTTGAATTTCAACAAGATCAATGGGAGATGAATGATAAATTGACTGTTTACAGGTTGTAACCGATCAAGGTTTAACGATCGGTGATTATGTTTTGTTTGCAACTTACATCATTCAACTTTATGTACCTTTAAATTGGTTTGGAACGTATTACCGGTAAGTAATGACGCCGATTTCTTGTTCGGTGAATTCCGAATTATATTGCCGACTAAAAAGTCATTATTGTTTACAGTGCAATACAAAAGAATTTCGTTGACATGGAGAATATGTTTGATCTTCTCCGAGAAGAACAAGAAATAATTGACGCGCCAGGTGCAGGGCCGTTAATAGTAAAGGGTGGCAAAGTAGAGTTTTCGAACGTGACATTTGGTTACACTCCTGAAAAAGTTGTACTAAAAAATGTTAGCTTTATCGTTCCAGCAGGAAAAACTGTTGCTTTGGTTGGACCTTCTGGTGCTGGAAAGTCAACTGTAGTACGATTGTTGTTTAGGTTCTATGATACAGAACAAGGTGCGATTTTGGTCGATGACCAGAACGTGAAGACAATTAAACAGGACTCGTTACGAAGCGCGATAGGTGTTGTACCTCAGGATACAGTATTATTTAACAACACTATAAAATATAATATCCAATACGGTCGTATCGAGGCTGGAGATGCAGATATAATTGCAGCAGCTCAAACCGCAGAGATTCACGAACGGATTCTCTCGTTTCCGGAAAGTTATGAAACACAGGTGTTTATATATATATGATATATCTATCGAACCATGTCCAGCTTTAGTGTTATTTAATTAACAATGATTCATTGTAAATACTCAGGTTGGTGAAAGGGGTCTACGTTTAAGCGGCGGAGAAAAGCAACGCGTAGCCATCGCACGAACAATTTTGAAGGAACCAGTAATTGTACTTCTAGACGAAGCAACGAGTGCGCTCGACACTCAAACGGAACGTAATATTCAAGCAGCGTTGAATAGAGCGTGCGCTAATCTGACAACCATTATCATAGCGCATAGGTTGTCCACGATAATACATGCCGATGAAATCCTAGTTTTCAAAGATGGAGAAATCGTAGAAAGAGGCAAACACGAAGAGCTTATTTCTTACAATGGAATTTACAACTCCATGTGGCATGCGCAGCTAGAAAACGATCAAGAACCTACTAAACTTCCAAACGGCGCCGTTCAATCAGAGAACGAGACATCGATCTCTTAAATGCTTTAAATAATTCAAGATAAATTCTTCATGAAATCCTCCTTAATAAAGAGAAGCTTACACGTATTTTATAAAATACTTAGAAATAATTTTATTTCAGTACAAAAAGTACCAACAATTATGGATTCCTAGAACATGATCATATTTCGTCGAGTTCGTGTTTTATTTATTAAAACGTGTGTTCTTATGAACAATTATGTAAGGATAAAAATGTGATAGTAACCAATTTTATGATCTCGTAGAAAGATCATTGTAATTAGAGAGGCATCTAAAGTAATTGTTAATTATTAAACGCCTAGTATATGTTTTACATATACATATATATATATTAATGTTTTTAAGAATAAAAAAAATTTCATATAATAAGCTGCATTTTTTTCAGAAACAGATGAACGCTTAAAATATTCGAAACCTTCTACTTTTCCATAATGTACTCTATTGATTTTGATGAGCTTTAAAAGAACAAATATTTAAATCACTGAATATACGTGTTATTTCGTATTTTCCTTTGAACTACTTTCTTTATTGTTCCGCTTGTGTACTTTCAGTCATTCTACTTCCAAATGCTCCATCAGGCACCCAACCTGATTCATCGATAGGATCTGTTACAGATTGTTCTTGCGCTCCCCAAAAATAATAACTCGCAAGAAATATCCACACAAAGAAGTACAGTGCCTGGTGTAATGAAGATAAGTTGTAAATGTTAATTTTTCGAAATAACTTGGAGCTATTACTTTGAAAGCTTCTTCTTTCCCCATGCTGATTAGTGAAGGTTACTCATGTCAAGTTAAATTTTGTTAAGAGTGCTTTTGGTGCTTTCTTACACCAAGAATTATTATATGATTAATTTTCGTATGATTTAAAATAATCGTAGACAAGAAATCTAAGTGTTATTTTCTTCGTCGCATATTTCCTTTTCTAAAATTCCAACTTGATCAATTTCGATAGCATGTTGAACAAAATTGTTTTGTGAACAGCTGATAATCGAATATCTAATTTTATTCGGGTCTCATGGTAACGTACTTATGTGACGTGTATCGAAATGTTTGCACGCAGATGAAGAAACATATTAGTGTTATATTGTTAATTTATATCTTTTATCATGTGTGATTAAAAATGAATAGTCTTGGTTTAAGCTTAATTTTAAAAATGGGCTGTATATGCTCGAAAGAAACTGTCACAGTAAATTCAAGAAATTATATAGTACGTGAACATCTTGGAGAAGGGCAAGTTTGACACGCAACAGATTTTCATTGATTACAATAACGTATCCTTTTCGTTGATTTTACAAATTGTTCCGTAATTTTCTTACATATTTTCTATTGGTAATTTGTTCGGTTATTAACGGAATGTTTTAATTTAATCCCACTTAACCTAGTCTGTTCTTTCTTAACGGTAATAACGATAGTGTATATAAAAATTAGCTTCTGTAATTAATTATATTTCAATTTATTTGTAGTGGATTCAGTACTGTACTTTTAGTTGAGGACACAGAAACACATAAAAAATATGCTATTAAGAAAATCATTTGTCATGGTCTACAAGACCAGAGACTAGCTGCGAAAGAAATAGAATACCATAATCTTGTAAAGCACCCAAATGTAATAGAATGTATCGATTCTACTTACAAAGGAACTGCAGATCCAGTCCTTAATGCTACCAGCGAAGTATTGATCGTTTTACCTTATTACCATGTATGTTTTATATTGTAAAATTCATTGACACGTATACAAATAATGGTTCAAGATTTTAATAGACCGGCTTTTTATTTTTTTCTTTCTTGTTTTTACTTTTATTTAGAAAGGTACACTCGCAAGTGAGTTAGAAAGACGAATCAAAAACAATGATTATATGAGCTCAATAGATATTTTAAATATTTTTTTACAAATATGCGAAGGTGTAAAAGCATTTCACGAAGCGAAACCAGATCCTCTTGCTCACAGAGATCTAAAGACTGCAAATATAGTTCTTGGTGATGGAAGTACACCAATTATAATGGATTTAGGTGACTGTCATAGTTATTACGTATGTTAATACATTCTTATTATACCAACCGTTATTACATGGATATTAATTGTTTTAGGTTCTGTAGCACCTGCCAGAGTTAAAGTGTGCGGTTCGCAAGCAGCGCAAACTTTACAAGATCTAGCAGCTGAAAGATGTTCAATGCCATACAGAGCACCGGAATTATTCAATGTAGAAAGTTATTGTATGGTAGATGAACGAACAGATATTTGGGTATTGTATTAATTGTATCCTTCGGTTGAATGTTTTCCTTTGCTATTATTATTGTGTTTAAAACCTTGTTTTTCTAGTCTTTAGGTTGTATACTTTATGCACTTTGCTATTTTAAATCACCTTTTGATGCCGTTTATGAAAGAGGTGATAGCGTTGCTTTAGCAGTTATGAGTGCAAATATTACATTCCCAGAAGATGCTCCATACGACGAGGTTGTTAAATGTTATGCGGTTTTTTTTCTGTCCGAATAACGATGATTCGTCAAATTAACATTTAAACTTTACATTTTTCAGGATATGCAGAATCTTATTTTATCAATGTTGAAGGTAAACCCAATGGAACGTCCTTATATATACAGTGTTATAGAGAGTGTACACGATCTTATCGCTAAATTGGAGAATAGAGCGTAATCGTATTAGCGACAATAATTAAAATGTTTATTGTTCCAAAAATTAGATATAGACAATTTTTTATACTTGTTTCAAATGTCCATTACATTTAAAGGGAAAGTCATAATATTATAATGCAATAATAGGACTTGGTAGATTTTTTACCAAACACTCAAAGTATTTTCATTATTCCAAATTATTACTTGAAATTCTTAGAAAGTAAATGTTTGCAATAATGAAATAAAAATTTTATTTTACATGGACGTGTACCTGTATTTCATATTTCAGGTAAACATTATTCTCACAGTATTGTTAAAAATGTAGATATCATAAAAAAAGCTTTCATGCATAATTCATAATATACAGAAGGATCAACTAAAAAATCTATTACTTTCTATTTGTCCATCTGTAAAATATCTTAATGACTACGTTTTTTTTATATATTCAAAAATGCATTCTTTACATGTGTACATATAAAAATATATTTGTGACTTTCAAACACACGTAGAAGATAGAAAAATATGTATCGTGTAATGTAGTAGGAATCCTTGTTACTAATAGTTCTGAACAGTAAAAACTCAACAAAAAG